CAGCAGGAAGATCAGTGTTGGGAGTTAAGACAAAGCGCGCAGCAGGAGAAGACAAACAGTACTGAGGAAAAGAGAGGAGCAGTGGGTCCTAACTGCTTCTCCAAAGACCTTTTTCTATCTAGCATTCCACATCCCCAGGACCTTGCTGTGATTCTAGCTGGAAGTGTGGGGCTGACAGCACACAAGTGCTCCCACAGAGTTGCTGCAACTCTGCTTTATGGGGGAAAACACATCTCTTGGTTAGAATGAGTTAGGGTATCACTTGGTACAACAAAAGTATAATAGCCTATAAAATTTAAGCCATGAGTCAGTTTTCTGCCAAGTTAGCCTCAATGTAAAGGTCTTTTTTGGTTTTGTTTTTATATACAGAAAACATATATGCTTTCTCATTTTCCCAACTTGGAATCTGGTTGCAGCTCAGACTGTTTAACAGATAGGAAAAACATAAGTTCCCATCATTTCTTCAAGATTTCTTTCTTTTTTTTACAGATAGAAGTCAGAATGACTTGTGCCAAAAGGAAGAACATGTCAGATCCTGAGCTTCTCTTGGGCTGGACTGCCTGAAGAGGACTGTCCTGCTGTGTCACAAGAGGTATAGTGCAGTGCTTTCAGCTGACATGCCAGTGTGATATGAAGGCTTCCCCTGGAGGTGGGGGCCACTTTTTCCAGAAGGTTGGGGGCCTCCAGAAGGTTTCCCCCACCACCAACTACATGTGATGGCTAGAATTTAGCACCTACCCAGGTGGGTCTCACAACAGGACAGGGCAGGTAAGGCTAATGGTGCAAACTGTGCCTCAGCACAGGCAGTCATCGTGGGTGAGGGTGAGGTGCAGCCAATAAACCCTGGAACCTGCAAGTGACTCAGAACATTGGTGGCTGGTGAGGGAAGAGCCCTCAGGTACGCTGCAATATTAAAAGGTTCAAAAGCACTGACAAAGTGTTCAGCTTTGCCCAAGGCAGCGTATGAGAATCCATTCCAGTGAAATGCTACATTCACAGAAGTGCTGTTCACCCCAGAACTATATCCCAGAGGACTCAATTCTGGCTGCGCTGAGAAGTGCTGAAGTTCCCTCCATGTCGCTCTGGAGACTGAAGCAGCAAGGCAGCCCTGTTTTAGGGGGTTGCTTAGATCCTCTCTCAAACTTCAGCATCATGGACGGTGGTAGCTAAAACGGATGATCAAAAAGAACCGAGTTACCAAATATCGTAGATTTCTTTGCTATTACAATTGGCCCTTGAACAACAAGGGTTAGAACTGTGCGAGTCCAATTGTACGTGGAGTTTTTTCAATAGTAAATACCACAGAACTACATGACTGAATAGCCTGTGTAGGAAGTGGAACCATGGATACCAAGGTGCCACATATATGGAGGGGAGCTATAAATTATACGTGGATTTTCAACTGTTCAGAGGGTTGTGGGAGCCCCAACTCCTGCCTTGTTCACAGGTCAACTGTATTATCTTAAAAGTAATGAAATGAATGTTCCAATTGAAAAAGTCACCTGTCCTCCACTCTAACCCTACCTGACGTTTCTGTAGCAGCCGATACTCCTGATCCTCTTCCTTCCTTCCGGAAACTCTCTTCTTTTGACTTCTGTAACACTATCTTTTCCCTAGTTTTCCCTCTTTTTCAATTGCTTTTCCTCAATGTTTTCCTGGTTCATTTTCCTCTGTCCACCCTTTAAATACAAAACACTTTTCTCCTCAAGAACTACTATCTTTTTTCGTAAATTTGAATCTTTATACCTTGCATTTCTCCCTGGACTCTAGGCTGAATATCCAACTGTCTTCTAGGCAGCTCCCCCTCCATGTGTCACAGGCTCATCAGACTCAACATATATAATTGACTTTCTAGTTTGTTCACTGTCTGCCTTCCTCTTTTAGAATAAAAGCTCCCTGAGGACAGGGACTTTATCTTGTTCTCTGCTATATCCCAAGCACCCAGCACTGTATGTATCAGGTAGTGGGTGCTGAATATTCACTGAATAAATGTCCTAAACTGTTCGCCTGAACTCCTTATTAACTAAACAGTCTTCAAAAATCACATTGGAAATCTAAGGAGTCATTTTGATTACTTCCTTTAGTTCATCCCTGGAATCAACAGATTGCCAAATCTTGTTGATTCTATGCTTGAAATGTCTTTCAAACCTATCTTCCCTGGTTTGAGCTAGCAGCATGCTCACTCTATTTTAGTTGCTTCCTAATTGGTCTCCCTGCTGCTGGTCTCGTCATTCTTCCAAGTCACCTTCCACAGTTCCACCAGGGCTTCTCCCCAAATACACAGAACTCCAATGGTTCCAATATCCTAGCATGAGTCAAAGCTCTTCAGAACACGACTGTAACCCATCTTGCTAGTCTCACCTTCACCATGCTGCCCCCATCCATCCTCTGCTCCAGCTACATGTTCTTTTACTCAGAACATGCATTTTCCTGCCTCCCAAAGTCTTGCTAAAGCTGGTAGTTCTGCTTACAATGTTCCTTCCTGTCTAAATAAATTATTTTACATAATTTAAGATGCAGCCTAAATGTCACCTTCTCTCTGACTTTTTTGTATTGTTGCTCAATATGGTACTTTACTACTAATACTACTACTAATAAAAATAGCTAACACGACTTCCCTGGTGGTGCAGTGGTTAAGAATCTGCCTGCCAATGCAGGGGACACGGGTTCGAGCCCTGGTCCTGGAAGATCCCACATGCCGCAGAGCAACTAAGCTCATGCGCCACTATTACTGAGCCTGTGCTCTAGAGCCTGAAAGCCACAACTACTGAGCCCACATGCCACAACTACTGAGCCCACATGCCACAACTACTGAGCCCATGTGCCACAACTACTGAAGCCTGTGCGCCTAAAGCCTGTGTTCTGCAACAAGAGAAGCCACTGCAATAAGAAGCCCACGCACCACGACGAAGAGTAGCCCCCGCTCACTGCAACTAGAGAAAGCCCGTGTGCAGCAACGAAGACCCAACACAGCCATAAATAGACAAACAAACAAATAAATTTATTTAAAAAAAAATAGCTAACACTGACATAGCCAGGAAATGGTGGCATTGGGATACGAAACCTGACAGATTCAGGCCTCAGAATGACTAAGGCATTTATCATATTGATTGTACACAGTGGTACATAGATCTCTTCCTGGATTAAACTATAATCTCCTTGTTGGCAAGTATGGTTTGTTATTTGAGTTCATATTACAGCACCCTGAATGGTGTTACTATTGTTCAAAGAATCTGCCTTCTCTAATCCTGTCAGAGTTCAGTACAAAAAAATTCTGTAGTTAAAATAACCATTTGTCTGTACTGTGATCGAAAAAATGTTTAACAATATTTTATTTTCCAATTTTGCTTCTTCCTTTTTTTTTAACAGCAAACTGTAATTGTCATTATAACTTCTTTCATTTAGCCTCCTTTTATAAATGTTCTGAGAGTCACCTAGATACTTTCACTGATTCCATTTGTGGCTCGCTGAGTCTTTAGGTATGGGCTGGGTCCTTAATCACAACAGTAATTCGAAATCAAAATGCTTCTTGGCTTGTTTCATGATGTTTATACACTAAATTGGTAAGATCAAGTGTGCTAGAAAGGACTGAAACCAGAGAGGGCAGGCTGTTGTCTAGCTCAGCAACAGTTCCTCATCCATAACCTGGGACAGTGAAGTGCAGAGAAGAGAGAACCCAGTGGCTTTTATCATTCATTCCTTTCCCTACATCCTGGTTGTGCAAGTCAAGCACGTTACTTAACCTTTTTGAGTCTACTTCCTCATCAAGAAAATGGGGATATGAACACACCTGGTATGTTTGCTGCAAGGATTAAATAAGATAATATACATAAAATGCCATACTCAATAAGGCATGAACTATGCCTCTTAGTTCTCATCTGTTTCTCTTAACGTAGTCTTCTTGCAATTAACACTGAGTGTTGTTCTTTTAACTATGTCATTAGAGTTCTTCCTAGCTGAACAACCCTGCTACATTTGCTTTTTGGTGGAGCTCTACTTAGCTCACAGTATTTGGGTCTTACCGTGTAAAATGTTTGCTCTCCTCATGAACTTCCATCTCTGAGCTTTTAAATTCATTTAATTCTTTTCTTATTGCGGCCTGCAGAGTAGAAACAAAAACGCTTCAGCATCTTCTGTCTGCTAGAGTATAGCAGTGTATCTGCCATCTAGTCTCTACTATGCTTAACTCTGTGAGTGACTGCGACCCCCAGAAGCAACCCAGAGGGAGGGAGGAAGCCAGGTCAACACATTGAGTGAAGCTCTGAGCCTGATGCATATTGCCTTTCCTGACACCCTTCATCTCATAATAAACCTGAAATCTCCAATTAAATCGAAACACTTGAAGACCTCCAAAGAGATATTGTACTTTTTATAGTTTCCACAGCATGTAAAAATGCTTTTCCTGTTATAAAAGTGAAATATGGGTAACTACTAAAATATACCATCCAAACTCCCTCCAACCAAACATAACTACTGTTAAAAAATGTGTTGTATTTCCAGATTTTTGTACTCTGTGATGTAGCAGGGATTTTCTTGTTTCAGTTTTGGTGGTGGTGGTGGTGAAGTCATTAGCATAAAGTTTTGGTTGGTACATCTTGGTATTTTGTACCTTAGATATTTAACATTATACGAGAAGTAGAAATTTTGTTATGGTTCCCCCTTCTAGTTAATGTCTTGTACCCTTCAAATAAAGAAAGAGAGACAGACGACAGACACCTTGTCAGCAGGGGTCAGTTTGGTCCAAGGTTTGTCAGCTCGCCGGTCATAATCATGAGCATCTGTTACCTCCACGTATTCATTAAACCTCAGAATCTTCCTGGCAAGCAGTTCAGCCACAGTTGGCCTTTGACTGAGCTGAAAGAAATGGAGGCTCTCAGTTCACTATGCCAGGAGTTAGGCATCAATCATGCATTCAAACTGCCTCTAACCCAGAGCTTCAACCTTTCAATGCACATCGGAATCAGCTGGGGACCTTTAAACATGACTGATCCCTGGGTCCATCTTCAGAGATTCCAGCTATCAGGAGATTGTTTGTTTGTTTCTTTAAGCTCCACAGTGCACAGCCAAGACAGAGAACCATTGCTATAAACCAGTATAACCAGTGCTTCTCAAACTTCAACATGCATACAAACCATTTGGGGATGTGGTTAAAGTATAGATTCTGACTAAGCAGATCTGGGGTGGGGCCTGAGATTCTGCATCTCTTACAAACTCCAGGTGATGCCAATGCTTCTGCTCCGTGGACCACATTTTGGGTAGCAAAAGGGTCAGGGCTACAAATTCATATCTAATACATTAGAAAGTGAATACATTTAATATGAAAGCAATATCTATTAATGGGTAATATTAAGGGTGAATTTCCTTTCACCATGAATAATGTCCAAGATATCAGATTCTGTAACAAATCATGATTTAAGGTTGAACAATCAGGTAACTTGCTCAGTCTGAAGGCATTAAGTCCAGTGATGGTCTCTAGCCACCCCCAATCTATCAAGGATAATTCCTCTGGTCCTGGGGAAGGGGAGAAGTGGGAAAAATCAGGAGGAAAATGCCTAGATTCCTTGCTCTCCTGGGGATTCTTATACATTTTAAGAAATGTCTAGAGAACTCAGACCAACTCCAAGAATCTACAGGAGGTAATTACCAACTATTATGGAGGGAGGGAAAGGAAAAGGGGCTTAATCCCAGAGTTTAAGGGCTAACACAAGTTTGATACAGAAAAGATTCTACCCTAACTGATTTGGGACCAATGAGAAAATCCTATTTGGTTTTTCATACTTTTCAGGTGTTACTAAGGGTCAAGCTCAGTTCTTTCTCTGTTTAGAAAACCACCAGTTTGCCTTGCAAAATTGAATTCTACACACTCCTCCTGTTACCGTTTCCATACATCAACAGCTTTTATAGTCTACACCAAAATCCCAGGTCTACCAAATAAAAGGTCAAAACTTGTGCAAACATTTATTGAGCACCTTCTTGTGCCAGGCTTTCTTTAAACAGTAAAAATGGGGGAAAAAAAGTTCTTATACTGCTGTGTTGTTTTCTGTATTTTCATCATGTGTTCTATTTTCACTGCAATCTATGGCAATTCAAGTCAAATTTATTTCTTTCCAGTCAAACAGGTCATTCAAATACAAGACACACAGTGAGTGGACAGACTGAGACAGTGTACCTTTCTAGTGAGCCGACGTTTAATCTCTCGTTTTTCTGCCTGACGATCAGCTTCATTTTTAGCTACAGTTGACAGTCACAAACAAAGAATATTACTTCAAAATGGCAATCTGCATATCAGACGTTTCAGTAATTACACACAGATATTTCTTTTTTTTTTTTTGGCCGCACCCCATGACATGTGGGATCTTAGTTCCCTGACCAGGGATTGAACCCGGGCCCCCTGCAGTGGAAGCCTGGAGTCTTAACCACTGGACTGCCAGGGAAGTCCCATACACAGATATTTCTTACAGGCTCCAAGTCAGAATAAAATACTTACTTTGGGACTGGTTAATCAAGACAATTTTCTTGTCAACTGGTGTAGTCAAATACTTAAGAGCATGGGTCAGCCAACTATGGTATCAAATCTGGCCAGCTGCCTGTACTTTTCCTGCCCATGAGCTAAGAATGGCCTTTACATTTTTAAATGGTTACATTTTGAATGGTTTGATAAGTACCTACATAATAGCTTCCTTGTGCTTTTTGGCTTGCAAAGTTGAAAATATTTACTATGTGCCCTGTAAGAAAAACTTTGCAGATCTTTGCTCAAGAGTAACCACTAACAATGGAGAATGGAGCTCACACTAGGTTTCACATGATAAGTCTATAAAGGCTCCCACACTTGTAACCCTATGAAGCCTAATCCTCCTCAATGTGGAGGTATTTAAGGACAAATTTCACCCTATAATCGGGAAAAATAAATCTGTACTGGATTAGAATGCTATTTCCGTTAGTCATTTATATAAACAGAAAGCAAATTAAATACATGGTCTTATTTTCTGACTTCGGAGGTATGAAAGCCTTAAGAGATGAAAAAGGCAGAACAACTGCTGCATTTGGGACTTGCTCTGGGTCCCAGCTCTCAGACACTAGGAATAGGAAGGTCCACTCCAAATATATAACCACTACCTTACCTCTCTTAAGGCAGAGAAAAGTTGGGCAGCACACGCTGTCAAAACCTCTCAAATGCCCAAGGTAGGTGCAGGATACTATGAGAAAATTAAAATACAATTTTCTGGAGTATCCCAGTACACTAAACAATATCATAATGATATCTTGTAAAGGAAGCTTGGGGGGAACTATGTTCCTTCAGGGGTAAAAAGTATGAATACTCCTTCCTTGGCTAGAATACTCTCTCCTTGGCCCTTGTTGAAAAATGCTTCTCTTTTCTGTCATGTATATTAAAGTCAGAAACACACAAAGAAAATCTATATGACTTCATTTCCATAGCTGGACTCACGTTGTAGTATGTTTCGTTGTTCTAGTTCTTCTGGTGTTGGTCTTTGACTCAGTCGTCTAAAAAGGAGATAAATAAGAATATTGTCAATGTTAAATATCCCGGTCCTGTTTATAAAGATCTGTTTATGAAACACCTTTTTTTTTTTTTTTTCTTGCGTTATGCGGGCCTCTCACTGTTGTGGCCTCTCCCATTTGCGGAGCACAGGCTCCGGACGCGCAGGCTCAGCGGCCATGGCTCACGGGCCCAGCCGCTCCGCGGCATGTGGGATCCTCCCGAAACGGGGCACGAACCCGCGTCTCCTGCATCGGCAGGCGGACCCTCAAGCACTGCGCCACCAGGGAAGCCCCTATGAAACACTTTTGAAACACCTTATGAAAAGTGTTTATGAAACACTTTTCACACTGAAAGTGTTAATACAGATATTACAACATAAAAAGGAATTGTACAGGCAAACAGGAGGCCAGGATTCTAGTTCTAGCTTTGATGCCAGCAAGCCCTATCACCACAAAAAAGCTCAGTTAGACCTTGAGTTACTCATGTGTAAAATGAAGATTTGGACTGTTCTGGTGGCAACCAAACAGATTTGCTCCTTCGGCATATGGGTTAACATAGATCCTCAAAGATATTAATAAAAATTCTCATTTAGGAAACCAGAATGAGGACTGAGACTACGTGTGTGTGTGTGTGTGTGTGTGTGTGTGTGTGTGTGTGTGTGTGTGTGTGTGTGTGTGTGTAATGCTTCCCATATGACTCTGACGTTCCTCTTTTTATTTTTATTTATTTTGTTTTTGTTTTTTTTTTTGGCTGTGCAGCATGTGGGATCTTACTTCCTCAACCAAGGACTGAACCTGCGCCCCCCGCATTGGAAGCATGGAGTCTTAACCACTGGACCGCCAGGGAAGTCCTCTTTTGATTTATTTATTTAATAAATTTATTTATTTATTTTTGGCTGTGTTGGGTCTTCGTTGCTGCACGTGGGCTTTTTCTAGTTGTGGCGAGTGGGGGCTACTCTTTATTGTGGTGCACAGGCTTCTCATTGCAGTGGCTTCTCTTGTTGCACAGTGTGGGCTCTAGGGTGTGCAGGCTTCAGTAGTTGTGGCACATGGGCTCAGTAGTTGTGGCACATGGGCTTAGTTGCTCCGTGGCATGTGGGAGCTTCCCAGACCAGGGCTCAAACCCGTGTCTCTTGCGTTGGGAGGTGGATTCTTTTTTTTTTTTTTTGCGGCACGCGGGCCTCTCACTGTTGTGGCTTCCCCCGCTGCGGAGCACAGGCTCCGGACGTGCAGGCTCAGTGGCTATGGCTCACGGGCCCAGCCGCTACGCGGCATGTGGGATCGGACTCTCAACCACTGCGCCACCAGGGAAGCCTCTCTTTTGATTTTTAAGCCAGTGTTTTAGGAACTACTGGAATTTAAAGTTGTCTCTTTTGGAGTTATATTCTGTAAAACCTATGATTTTAATTTCAGTCCTCTCTGAAATATCTGATGAAGTTTCTCATCTCATTCCCAGTTCTGAGATGTTATTCACCAATGACAACTTGTCATTTCTAGAATCAGAAAGTTCTTCATTTCTTACTTTTAATGTATAGCTCTGACAGTATTTGAACTATGTGCTAGTAACTCTTTAGTTGCATGGAAAACTCCCACCCCCATTTTATATACAATTTACAACTTTATGTATTTCAAAGCTTTTCTTTTTTCAATGTTCATTAAAAAAACAACACCACAGCTTTACGAAGGTGTAAGTGACATACAATAAATTGCATGATTTGATATTTTGACATAGGTAGGTATGTCCCTATAAAATCATCACTGGGACTTCCTTGGTGGTGCAGAGGTTAGGAATCTGCCTGTCAATGTAGGGGACACAGGTTTGAGCCCTGGTCTGGGAAGATCCCACATACCGCGGAGCAACTAAGCCCGTGTGGCACAACTACTGAGCCTGAGCTCTAGAGCCCGTGAGCCACAACTATGGAGCCTGTGTGCCACAACTACTGAAGCCCATGTGCCTAGAGCCCGTGCTCTGCAACAAAGAGAAGCCACGGCAATGAGAAGGCTACACACCACAATGAAGAGTAGCCCCCGCTCGCCACAACTAGAGAAAGCCTGCATGCAGCAATGATGACCGAACACAGCAGCCAAGAATAAAATAAATAAATGAATAAATATATTTTAAAAAAGTTCATTAAATGATTTAGTTCCTCAGGGTAAAAATCTTAAAAAAAAAAATCATCACCACAATCATGGTAAGGAACATGTCTATCACCCTTGGACTGATTTCCTAGGGCTGCTGGAACAAATTACTACAAAGTGAATGGCTTATAACAGACATTTATTCTCTCATAGTTCTGGAGTCCAGAGTCCACAATCAAGGTGTTAGAAAGGTTGGTTCCTTCTGAAGGTTCAGAGGGAGAATTTGTTCCATGCCTAGATTCTGGTGGTTGCCAGCAGTCCTTGGCGTTCTTTGGCTTGTAGATGCATCATTCCAGTATCTGCCTTAGTCACACAGCGTTCTCTGTGTCTGTGTCTATCCATCCCAATTTCCCTCCTCTTATGAGGACACCAGTCATTGGATTAGAGCCTACCTAATCCAGTATGACCTCATCTTAAGTTGATTATATCTACACAGATCCTCTGTCCAAATAAGGTCACATTCAAAGGTACCAGAGATTAGGATTTATTTTGGAACATACAACTCTACCCACTACAACCTCCCTGACAAAATTTCATTTCCTTTGTAATCTCTATCTCCCTGCCTCCAAGCAAACACTCATCTGCTTTATTTACTCTCAACCACCCTGCCCCCAGGCAACCACTGATCTGTTTTATGTAACTATAAATTAGTTTTCATTTTCTAAAATTTCATATAAAATCATACAGTATGTACTTTTTTTGTCTAGCTTCTTTCACTCAGGATAATTACTGAGATCCACCCAAGTAGTGGCATTATAATAGTTCATTCCTGTTTACTGCTCTGTAGTATTCCATGACAGGACTATGTTCATGTTCATCCATTTATGTTTTGATGGACATTTAGGTTGTTTCTATTTTGGGGGACTATTAGAAATAATGAAATGGCTGGATCATATGTTGTTTGATTTTTTTAAAGAAACTTACAAATTGTTTTCCAAAGTAGTCTATTTTACACTCCCAGTCTATTTTACCACCACTGTGTGAGAATCCAGCTGGGCCTCATCCTCAGCTACTCTTTTTTAAAATTAATTTTTATTTATTTATTTTTGCTGTGTTGGGTTTCCGTTTCTGTGCAAGGCCTTTCTCTAGTTGTGGCAAGCGGGGGCCACTCTTCAGCGCAGTGCGTGGGCCTCTCACTATCGCGGCCTCTCTTGTTGCGTAGCACAGGCTCCAGACGCGCAGGCTCAGTAGTTGTGGCTCACGGGCCTAGTTGCTCGGCGGCATGTGGGATCCTCCCAGACCAGGGCTCAAACCCGTGTCCCCCGCATTAGCAGGCAGACTCTCAACCACTGCGCCACCAGGGAAGCCCCAGCAACTCTTAATATTATCAGTCTTTTATTATTTATTTTATTTTATTTTTTAAAATAAATTTATTTGTTTACTTATTTATTTTTGGCTGTGTTGGGTCTTCGTTGCTGTGCGCCAGCTTTCTCTAGTTGCGGTGAGCGGGGGATACTCTTCATCGCGGTGTGCAGGTTTCTTATTGCAGTAGCTTCTCTTGCTGCGGAGCACCGGCTCTAGGTGCGCGGGCTTCGGTAGCTGTGGCACGTGGCTCTAGAGCGCAGGCTCAGTAGTGGTGGCGCGTGGGCTTAGTTACTGTGCTGCATGTGGGATCTTCCACATGCTGGGCCCCCTGCATGGGGAGGGCAGAGTCTTACCCACTGGATCAACAGGGAAGTCCTTGCTTCCCCCACCATTTAAAAAGTGGGTTGTTTCTTACTGAGTTTGGAGAGTTCTTCATATATTCTACATATAAGACCTTTATCAGATACATGGTTTGCAAATATTTTTCTCCCAGTTTGTGGCTTATTTTTACTTTTTTTTTTAAACAGTGTCTTTCACAGAACAAAAAATTTTAATTTTGATGAAGTGCAATTTACCAATGTTTTTCTCTTAAGAACCATGCTTTGACAGCATATCTATGAAATCTTTCTTTAACCCATATTCTAGAAATTTTACAGTTCTAGCTCTCATATTTAAGTCTATGATCCATTTTGAGTTAATTTTTTATATGATACACTGAATGAATTGAAGTAATTTTTGTGCCAGGACCATTTGTTGAAAAGACCATCCCTTCTCAATGAAATTGTCTTTGTACCTTTGTCATAAATGAGTTGCACATATATGGGTGGGTCTATTTCTGGGCTCTCTCTTCTGTTCCATTGACTTCTTTGTCTATCCTACCTTTACATCAATACCACACTGTTTAGGTTACTTTAGCTTTATAATATGTCTTAAAATAAGACAGTGTTAGTCCTCCAGTCCTGTTCTTTTTCACAGTTGCTTTATATTTCCGTAACAATTTTAGAATCAGTTTGTCAATTAAAGCCTACTGGGGGTATTTTGATTGGAACTGCATTAAATCTACTGATGTCTTGATAATACTGAGACTTCTGATCCATGAATATGTTATTTGTCTCCATATATTTAGGTCTTCTTTACTTTCTTCAGCATTATTTTATACTTTTCAGTGCATAGGTCTTACACAATCTTTCATCAGGTTTATCCACAGGTATTTAAAGATTTTTGATGGTATTGTAAATTGCTATTGTAAATGTTAATCTCTTGTATTTCCACATTTTAGTTTTAGACTATTCATTGCTAGTGTCCAATAAGCTCTTCTAAGACGATTATGACCTGGGAAAAAACACTCAAAGACGAGCAACTAGCATTGCAATAAAGCAAAAGGAATCTATTATTATTATTTTTTTTGGCGGTATGCGGGCCTTTCACTGTTGTGGCCTTTCCCGTTGCGGAGCACAGGCTCCGGACGCGCAGGCTCAGCGGCCGTGGCTCACGGGCCCAGCCACTCCACGGCATGTGGGATCTTCCCGGACCAGGGCAGAAACCCGTGTCCCCTGCATTGGCAGGCGGACTCTCAACCACTGCGCCACCAGGGAAGCCCAAGGAATCTATTATTAAAGATCCCCATTCTTGGATGAAATATACAGTGTGGGAATATAGTCAATAATAATGTAGTATCTTTGTATGGTGACAGATGGTAACTAGACTTATTGTGGTGATCATTTTGCAACGTATAGAAATATCAAACCACTATGTTGTGCACCAGGAACTAATATAGTATTGTAGGTCTATTATACTCCAAAAACCAAAGAAACAAAGTCATAGAAAAAGAGATCAGATCTGTGGTTACCAGAGGCAGGGGGTGGACAGGGGGAACTGGATGAAGGTGGTCAAAAGGTACAAACTTCCAGTTATAAAATAAATACATACTAGGGATGTGATGTACAACATGATTAATATAATTAACATGTATGTTATATATCAAAGTTGTTAAAAGAGTAAAGCCTAAGAGTTCTCATCACAAGGAAAATATCTTTTTTTCCTGTTTCTTTTATTTTGTATCTATAGGAGACGATGGATGTTCATTAAGCTTATTGTAGTCATCATTTCATGATGTATGCAAGTCAAATCATTATGCTCTATACCTTAAACTTATACAGTGCTGTATGTCAAATGTACCTCAATAAAACTAAAAGAAAAAAAAATCCCCATTCTTAACTAATTCCTAATCTTGATGGTCTCTTGCTGACACTCAGAGGGCCACAGTTCTGCATGAAGACTGCCATCAACAAAGCCAGGTGTCTGAGGTAGGAGAGGAGAATATATTTTAATTAACAGGCATCCTTATTTAATTGTTTTTAAGGAATACACCAGGAGTTCCACTTTCCGAGAGGAACATCTGAGATGGGCAAACACTTGTCTGTATACCTGGACTCTACGTGTAGTACATATGCAGGAAGCTGGCCTGCATTCAGTCTCTCTATGCTTTTGGTTCCAGCTGACTTGAAAAATATACTAACACGTTGAAAGGAGGCAGTTACATGGAACATGTGAAACAGATACAATGGAAATTATGTGTGTGATTTTTAACTGGGCTGGCACCTCATGGTTGAGTAAGCCAGAAGAGGCTTGCTGTGCTGGGAGCCACCTAAATCCTTAGAAACTTTAAAAAAAAACATACTTATGTTTATCTTATGGTGTAAAGCTGTGAGATCTATCTCATGGTTTAAAGCTCTGAGAGCCATCTAGTTCCTTAATTTCCAAACTCTTAGAAGATAACCCATCTGTGTACAATATGTATTTTTAAAAATTATGCTATTTCTAAAATTAAAAACATAAAGATACCTGCATGCTCCACCACAGAGTACATCTCTAAGACATGTACTGGCATCATCAAATCAAATCAATCTATTCTAAGAAAAGGCCTACCGGATCAGCGTGTTCCCAATCTGGTGCCGTATTTCATTCCACTCCTCTTTGCTTTTTCGAGGCCAAGAATTCATGTTCATTTCAGGTTCACTGGGTCTGTGGTTCAACTTCATTGCCAGTGTGTCTTTCCTCTTCACTTTGTTGGCCAGAGCACCTTTGTACAAGGGAGAGAAAAACATGGAGAAGCTTAAAGCTCAGCCTCACCTGGAGCTAGGTAAGAGTCTGAATAAACAATATCATAATCCCAGCTTTCTAGCTGGCCTCTGATGATCCACCTAACAGAGAGGTGGGGGTAAAGCTGAGGACATCTAAAAATCTTTTTAGCAGATGGCCTCAGATGGGCTAAAAATATCTTTTCCCTTCTACCAGTTCTCTGTCTACATTTTTCTTCTTAATATGAGTTGCTAGAGGAGGGACGGTCTAAGCAGGGGACAGCCTCTGAATTACAACACAGAGGCATTTGCACTAACACACCTCATAAGATTCCTACTCTTAAAGCTGTTTTCCACTTTTAGGAATCAGGATTCTATTATTCGCAGATGTGTGTACATGAACATGTTTTTTTTCTTTGCCCCATGAACACAGGAAGCTCACTAGGCTGAAGGAGTGCATCATTTTTGTCTTTTCCACAAAGCCCAAATACCAACTTTCCTTTACTCCACATTCTTTAATACCATCAAGGTAAATAATTTTTAAATCAAAACCAAACACATAAAAAACTGATTGACTCAACCTACTGGGCTCCCTCTCACTGGCTTGTTATAACAACGGGAACAGCAGGGACAAGAGTCTTTCACAGAGCCTTCCAAGAGCAGTCAGCCAGACGACTCGATGGGAGAGGCTGCCTGCTTCCATGCATCTTACACTTGCTAAGACCAGCACACAGCTTTATCTGTAAGAGAACTTTCTCCTTCTCTTTCC